GTTCCCGCTCACTGGCTGAGCAAGGTGTGGGAGCAACACTGAGGGTTGCGATCCCGTTGCCAGTCCGGTCCAGTCCGGGCGCGACACTGAGGGTTGCGATCCGTTGCCGGACACGAAAAAAAGACAAAAAAGGGAAAAAAAAAAATTTATTGAATGAATTGCCTCTAATACATTGCCAGATGCCCACAGGATCAACTTTTCACATCGATACTCCAGTTTCAAATTTAATACATCTAAAATTAAACTCGATACCTTCTTTGCCTGCAAACCCCCTCCACCAATCTCTAACCAGCTCTCTGTCCCAACTTCACTATTTTAACAGCATCAACATTCTGTCATCCGAGTTCAAACCCAGGAATCCACTAATGTCTCTCCTTCTTCCTGCTCCTCTTATTGAAAAACTCCAAGTCCTCTGAATTCTGCTTCCACAACACTGTTTCATTGGATCCTTCCTTTCCATTCCTATTTATGACTATCAGTTTAAATTACCATTTGCCTGAGCATTGCTAAGTGGCCTCCAAAATGATCTCCTTGCCTTTCCTATACATTTTCTCTCCTCTAAACAACACTGCATATATACGAAACCAATATTATTCTTTCATAACATTCTTAAAAATGTTCAAAGCCTCCCTCAATGAATCATCTCATAAGGCCAGTTTACACTGTCCACTGTGCTTCAAATACTTTCTCAGTATCCCTACCCAAAATAGTCTCTTCTATTTGGTTTAATTCAAGTCCAATTCCTTCCAATGAGCACTCCTTCAGCATTCATCCACAATTCCACCTCCAAATTTCAATAAATCTTACAATTACCAGAATACCCTTTCATCTCTATGTTTTATTTCTCCACCACACCATCAGTTTTCCTTTAGGAAAAAGAGTCTGAAATACTAGCTTTCCATCCCCTCAATACCTCTCATAACAATAGATTAGTAGTATTGGTTGATCCTGATTATCAAAATGAATTAGGAAAATGACTAATTCAAACTGGAAAAAATTACCAATATTCCTAAAATCATTTTTTTTTTCCTTTTTGTCTTTTTTACTGACCAGTAACGGGATCGCAACCCTCAGTG